TCTTGCCATCAACCAATCAACGCGCGCAGACTGTTATAATTTTGTGAAACCGTATTAGACAGGTCAACTCGAAATGTGCGTCGACGGTCATCAAAGATTATTAAGGACACCTCAATCCTCCGTGACCACACCCTATGTGCATTATCTCACTCTATGGTGAATTTTCCCAACCAAAAATTGCTTATTTATTGCTGCGAGTCGGTTGGAAACAACGGAACTGCCTACTTTAGTTGCAATGCAGCTCAGTAATTATAAAAACTTGTTATTTGATTGCGAATGGTATTTTGTGCAAACTGCCGAGTGACATTTTGGACGCAGTTGATGTATCACTTGTGGGGATAAAGAAATGATACTAAAAACGTGCTTGTGGGAACCCTTTGGCGAACTACACAAGTCTCCTCGTACAAACGTATCTTACATAAATACACTTCAACTGATAAAAAACGACGGAGAATATTAAACACATATACTCTGCGCATACCACTTTTGTCCAAAAGCCCAAAAATCCTCGTGTGTACTTTTTTTTAACATAGTTAGTGGAGCGGGACATCTCCATCTTATTTGTTTTCAAACAGCTTGGAGATCAGACGAAAAACAACCATAAAGTTTAGCCTGTGTGCTTGTCAGTGAAAATATTGGATAAAATATATTGAGTTACGAGGTATCAAAATTAGCCAAAAGGAATGAGTGAGTTTTGTGTGCATGCAATCATATGATCAGGGTATAAATTTCATCTGGGTAAAGCAAAGTACACTAAATCGACATCAACATCAGCAATAGTCAGACACTGATGTACTTCTATCAAGCTACATCTAGATTGACACGAATTCCCATTGCAAGAAATTGTTTTGTACGCGAAAAGGAACGTGATGTGCTAAAAGGTATTACGCGCTTCCAAAATTTACACGAGGGCCGTCATTAAACCACAATTACACTCTGTTTCAGTTGCCGCGCCAAAATATATGAAAAGAGCTCGTTTCCCTATATTCATTTGCTAATGTTCCGCGCATCCATTCAAGTTCGACAACCCAATGAAACGGTGTAATTATTTTTTTTCTATTCATTATAATAATGAGTTCAAAACTTTTAAAAGGTTTAAAACAACGCGTTAACCTGTTTCAAAACATTTTTTCAATTCATCTTTTACGACAGACGAGCATAAACGGCATGAAATTAAAAAAAAAGTAAACTTGGAGATACACGTGAATCTACACGTAGAACAAGTTCGCGTGCGTTCGCGTGAGAAAGCATTCCTCACACATTCAACAATTCGGTACTATTACGGGTATATTTTACGAAAACCACCACATAACTGTTGATCGAGTTGTTAATAAGTTGAGTTGGTTTTTCTAAACATCGTTCACTCAACATATCCGCGGCAAATTCGCTTTTTTTGTTTCCGCGCTCTTGCAAGCCGTTCACGGTCAGCATGCATGGAGCTTACTATCCTGGTGGAATTCATGCAGCAAATGAGAATAAGGTAAATAAGTGATTCTTAGAGAATATCTAAAATAGATTCCAAGAGACATATTTTAAGCTTTTTATGTTAACTTTAATAAAGTCACTTTTTTACCATTTGGCATATCGAAGAACACTGGACACAATACTTTCTCCTTGACACTAGACTGGATAAACACTTTTTAAGGTGATGGATGCAATGGCGGGAAAAGTTTGCGCGGTTACGCAAAATACTAAACACCTAACTAGGCTTGTATCAGATATGCAGTAATTCAATAATGCTCGCTAACTATAAAGATCATAATGTGTAATATTAAACTAAGATTTTGCTTTTGAATTCTCCAGACGGTGGGTTTGGATCTTGTTTGAAAGTCATAAACGAAATAGGAGCTAAACATGGCGGGCAAGCCTTGCAGTGGAGTAACGACAAGATAGCCCAACAAGAAGCCAAAAGTTGGGCCGAGCATGAAAACTCGGCGGGAAAAGTAATGCCTGATCCAAATCTTGAAGACGACGTATCGAGTGGTATCTCTGCTATGGTAACAGGAGGAGGATCACCAGTAGACAAATGTAAAAGAGCGGTGAAGCAATGGTAAATATCACCCTTTGATTTTTAAATTAAATTGAAAAAATAACCGCTAGGATTGCATGGATCCTCTTGAATTAGCTGGAGCCCAAAACGTCCCTGTTTGGTCCCCACAGCAATTAAGATTCAAAATTCA